AGAGGAGAGGAGAGGAGAGGAGAGGAGAGGAGGGGAAAGAAACTTTCATGGGGCCCCCCAGCAGCCTAGGCCTATAGCAGCATAACTAAGGGAAGGCTCAGGGTCACCTGATCCAGCCCTAACTATAAGCTTTATCAAAAAGGAACGTCTTAAGTCTAATCTTAAAGGTAGAGAGGGTGTCTTAAGCATGTCAGGGTCGGGCCATAGCCATAGCTTATGTTTTCAGCCCATTCCTGTGAATGCAATATCTCATGAATGCCCTGAGGGAATTTCTTCAAATTTGGCACAAACATCAGCTTGGACTTAGGGATGAACTGATTATATCTTGATGGTCAAAGCTCAAGGTCACATTGACCTCACAGTGACTTGTTGGCAGAGACATAAAACTGCTAAGCAGTAATCCTAGTTAAAGGAAAAGGTTGGTCATTCTCTATATTAATATTATTTTCAACACTCCTCATACTGAGACCAAAGCCAACAGTAAATTGCCTCTACTCGTGGTTAATGTCTGTCAGTCTCCAACACAGATCAGCTTTTTCATCTGTGCCATAAATTTGTATTGCTGTTCAAAATTGATTAAGAACACATCAGTGAAACACACTGGGTGACATATTTCTTCATTAGGAAACACCAGACCCACATATTTCTTACAAATGTTGCTCCAAAGCCTCTGCACAGTCATAACGTTTTACAACATCCGAAGCAAGAGGCAACTGTACATGAATATGATCTCTGTGAGGGAACTGTTAACAAAGCACAGAGCTCGCATGAAGATCTCGAGCACATGTTAATTGTTTTTGAAGAACAGCAGAGGTCTATGGCACAAATTGATAAACTAATCCAGGTTGGAGATTATCCTTTAAAATATACTTTTTTTTAATTAAAAAGGATCATTATTGGTTGTAGTATAGAACACATTCTCGGTTTTAGGCACACACACATGCACAGTCTCATATACATACAGAAATCAACGTGAAAACAAAAAAATGCACATTTTATTGGTGCAGGTGCTCAAAATAGCAAACGTACTCCGTTTTATGATCTCTGTTCTTGACTATAATTGACTAACATTCCCTTGCCCGATAACACAAAAAAACCCAACTCCAGTCTTGGTGTTTAAAACCTCTAATTCTCAGTAAAAAATAAATAAATCTGCAGTAAAGGCTGGTTTTGAATTTGACGTCATGCTGTTAGAGACAGGCACAGTGAGAGCATACTGCAATTAGGTGTTCAAGTGATGCAGACCTCTTAAAGTACTTTAATTCCTCTCATAGTTCTGTCTGTAATTGCTGGCTCCTGTTCATAATTGGAAATCCTTCTCTTCCTGTTGAAGTTGCCTCTCCAGGCTCTCGGATCATTTTAGCCTGAGTTCCTTCTGCTCCCTGAGCTCTATGGTTTGTAACAGTCATCCCTCTGAAAAGCACTGGTACTGTACCTACTGCCCAGACTTATGCAGTTATATTGGTTAGATCCTATAGCATAAGGAGATTATGCAGCATATCTGTCAACAGCTCTAACATTAAAGGTGCTGTTCCAGAAAGTGAAACAGTCCACTGCATCAATACTGTCTCTGGTGGCGCTCTCACTTTTGAAAGGTTTTCTCAGCATTGCCAGAGTCATTCTTTAAGACTTTATGACTGGGGGAGAGCCACAGGTTTGCCAAGTCAGCATCCAGTGTGATATTTTGGCACAGCGTTAGGCCAAATTGAAGATAAATCATCAGCTAGAGAGGACACCCTGATAGGGTGATGGAAGCATTAGCTCTGTCTTGTTATTTATTTCATTCTCTCTGTCATCTGTCTCTCTGCTTCTCTTAACACAGGTCAGGAGCTGCCATGCCATTTGGCTGTTTAACAATCGGAGAAAAGAAGGATTATAACAATCCTTCAGATGTGACAGATAAATATGACCTGGGCCAGCTCATCAAATCGTGAGTACCTCAGCAGCTATTTGTAGAGCCACATAATAGCTATAAACTTTTCCTGGGAAACCATTGTGATCTCTGTTTAAAATCTGAAACACCATAAAATGCTTCTTTTCAGGGAGGAGTTCTGTGAGATATTCAGGGCCAAGGACAAAACTACAATGAAAATGTACACATGTAAAAAGTTCCTAAAGAAGGATGGAAGGAAAGTCCGCAAGGCTGCGAAAAACGAGATCCTCATTTTAAAGATGTAAGTTACTTTGCGTTAAATGTTGCCTTAAATTCAAACTTCTTGTGGTGATTAATTTTGTGATGAGACCATCACCACAAGTCTGTTTATTGTTTTTTTTTTTTAAATAATTTTCTATTTTGTCTTCAGAAAAACTAACTTCAACAAATAAAATCCACTTCTTTAAAGAAAAACAACACATGAAAACAAAAAAGTCAAGCAAGCCTCATTTTGCTCACTGATCTCACACTGCCTTGTTTATCTGTGATATTTTTTTCTCAGCTGATTATTTGACTTTACGGTAAAACCCATATTAGCATAACCTGTGCCATATCAAACAATTAGTCGCTGACAGCGGGCAAAGCAGTGAAGCAAGATGAAGATGGTGTGATTTCTTTTAAAAAAGCCTTTCAAAGCATGGTCTCATATTCCTCTGAAAATGACATTTTAGACACTTCGGTGACAGGGATGTGCACTGCTTCTGTTTTTCATACTCTAATCATCAGCGGGGAGTTTCGGTGAATAATCAAATATGATGACATTTTTAAAGGCTGTGAATAATTTCTGGCAAAACATAAATTATTACTAATTTTATGATAATTTCACTTGAATTCACTAAAACAGTCCTGCACATTCATTCACCAACAACAGTTTTAGAGTTTATTACTATTCACCTGAAGTCCTCCAACACTCATAAATACTGTATGTTTGTGTAGTACTTGGATGTTAATCTTTAATCTGCAGAATGACAGATTGATGCTAGTAGGATTTTTATTTATTTATCTCCTGATAGAGGAAAGTAGGAAAGTTTCTCTGTGTGCTCCTCTAATCCCATTGTGAGACATGTCTAAAAAAAGAAGGGTTTTGTAACATCATCGTCACAACTTGCTAAAATGAACAATATGCATATTCTGGATTTTTTTTAATGACGGACAAGAACCGCATAAGAATTAAATTTATTTTTATTCAGTTTAAGTTGTTTTAAATTAATGCCTTTCCCAATGGCTGTTTTAGGCCTATTTTCACCAGATTTAACTGTTTTATAATGCTTTATAGCTTCTTACGTAGATTTCACAGAACCTAGGTTATTTATTTTTAAAGTCCCAGTGTGTCTGGCTCCCATGCTTCTTTCTTGTCATAAATGTACCACAATTTAGGTTTATTTGTAAATGTGCGGATTTACAAGGCAATTAGTGAGCAGTGCTTATAGTGTATATGAGTCTAAAATGAATCCATTTTTACCAGATAACAATGAGGCAGCTTTGTCCTATTGAAGCATATGACTTTATTTAATTGATTTGTATTTTTTATATTTATTTATTTAGCCAATAAACAGTTATTCTGGCTTAAAACACTTGTACTGAAGATTGTTCACAGTTTTATTCCTTTGAGACCCTGTTCCACATGGAGTACAATTTAAGAACAAGATGTAATGGCAACATGAATATTTTTGGTAACTTGCCTGGGTGTTGACAGGCCAGAAGAAGACTTAATTCACCATGAAATTTCCCATCTGTTATTGTAGTTGTTAAAGACAGGGTCCTGTGCATGGGCATGGTTGTTGTTATGCCCACCTGGATACATTAATTTACATAAATCTGCTTATCTGTGAAGGGGCAGCGTGTTGATCGCAGTGTTGTGATGTGAACTGAAATGATTATGTTTTGCAATTTCATTTTTTTCTTCAAGGTTGCACCCTCAGTTTCCATGACTGCTGAAGTGTGTCAGTCATAAACCAGGCCTTTACATTATTCCTCCAACAGAATAAATGATGCAAACATCATCTTGTATGTGACTCCTATCATCATTCTTTCTCTTTCTCTCTGTGTTTCTTTTTCTGTCTTGTATTTTATGACATGTCTCCTCAGGGTGAAGCATCCCAATATTCTCCAGCTGGTGGACGTCTTTGAGACCAAAAAAGAATACTTCCTTTTCCTTGAACTGTGAGTGCAGATGTCTGATGAGCCAGGGGAAAAGGCTTGCTGCTTGTCTTTGCTGTTGCTCAGGCCTGCTGGATGTGTTGATTATACACTCCTGGGGAATGAGATGTTGTAGCTCCAGGCCTGTTGTAGCTTCATTTGGTATTCAGATATGATTTTTTGGTAGCTGCTCCATTTTCATTAGGATGTGATCTTGGGGAATTTGATGCATCTCAATGAATATCCTAAAAGTAGGATATTTGTTTTGTCCCACTTTATTTCCTGTACGGGAAAACAGCTTTTATTCTAGGATATATGTAATTTACATTTTATATATATATATATATATGTATATAATGTAAAAATACAGTTATATTAATCAGTTCTTTTTTTAACCTTTGTCTGACTAGTCTTGTTTTTGCCCAACTGGCAAAGACAGCAAGCACACAGTTCAGAAACTCGAAACAAATGTCTGAAATCTTCCAATGCTGAAATGAAATCACATTCAAAACTTTCCACAGCAATTGTGTAACACATTATGGCCCTTTCCTTTCCACAGTGCAACAGGCAGAGAGGTGTTTGACTGGATCTTGGATCAAGGCTACTACTCAGAGCGGGACACCAGCAATGTAGTGCGCCAGGTGTTAGAGGCTGTGGCCTACCTGCACTCCCTGCATATTGTTCACAGAAACCTCAAGGTAATGCTCTACAGTAGTGCAAAATATGCTGATTAACCAGGGTTGTAAGCAGAAATAAATGAGTTAATAATTCCACTGAGCATCCTGTCTACATTGTATATTCACCAGATCTGAAAATGCTAACTGGATCAAAATGCTACTTTTTCAATGTGTTTACGATTCTTAATGTGGCACAAAAAGGTCAACATCTCATCAACAGCATTGGCTTGATGGATTGGCACCAAATATGATATGTTCATAGTTCCCAGAGGAACAATGATCGCCTGATTTTCCCTCTAGCGCCACCATCAGCTCACCTTATTTTTTGTCCAATACTTTGGTTCATGACATTCCCATCAGCCTCAGCTGTAGGGTCTTTGTATTTAGCAGTAATTAACAAATGTTAACATGCTAATACGTTAAACCAGGATGGTGAACATGGTACATATACTGTACTCATTTTTAAATAAAGTGCATACAATTCCAGTGTACTAATAAAGTTCTGAAGAATGAGTAACACCACTATCACTGCAACTCTCAAAGAAGTTTTAGAGAAATGTTAGGACAACTCAAAAGGTCGCATACATGCTCTGAACAATAGATTCATAATGACAAATTAATAGAGAAAAGGAAGTTGCTATTGAAATGTCTGTCAAATGACAAGCTAAAGTTCATCTAATCACAAATGACTCAAAAATCAAAAATATATAACTCATCACTTATTTTTTGTTAAAATGCAACACACAAAATAAAAATCATTACATTAGGCTAGAGGCAAACAGTCAGAGGAGCCTGTTACACACTGGCCTCCTTTTGTGCTCTGTTTCTTTAATTCTGTATAACCATTATTTGTAGCAGAACCTGGATCTGTCAGCTTAAATGGTTAATCAATGCATTTCTTAAATGGAAATGCTATAAACTTGGTCAAGGAGCTTTAGTTCAGTGATAATAAAATGACAAAATTAAACTGGATGTCTCTTGACTTGAGTCTTTTTATCGGCACTGGGTAATTAAACTTTTAGATCTTTTCAGTCTTCTCATTATTTCTGTTAGAAAATGACACCACCACTGAAATTTAAGCTCTGCAACCTCCAATAGTTGATTAACCATGATAATCAAAGAATATTAAACATGAATATTATATTAACCATTGTCATTGTAATATGTCATTGTCCATAGTTGGAGAATTTGGTTTACTACAACCGTCTGAAGCACTCTAAAATAGTCATCAGTGACTTTCACCTTGCCAAACTGGAGAATGGACTAATCAAAGACCCCTGTGGGACACCAGAGTACCTGGGTGAGCATCCAAATTCACCAAGTAGCAAATAAAACATTGTTATACTGGCAGATTGGTGGAAAATGTCATATGGTAGTTTGCTGTGGATTTCAGACTCTCAGACAGTGTGCTGACATTTCTGTGCTCTGATGCAGCTCCAGAGGTCATTGGCAGGCAGCGATACGGCAGGCCTGTGGACTGCTGGGCCACAGGTGTCATCATGTACATACTGTAAGTTGCAGCATGACACATAACACTAACATACATACTCTGTATTTTATTATATAACTGACCTTGTTTAAATACAGTATATACCAAATATGGTTTTGTTGGCTCTGTTTCTCTTTTTATGCCTCCACATCAGTGAAAGCTGCAACTGGGTTGTCCATCCATCTTTGTCCATGCGTCTATACGGGTCTTTTGAATGCAGAATATTAGGAACACCTTGAGGGAATTTTTAAAAATCTAGCACAAATGTCCACTTGAACTCAAGAATGAACTGAATAAATTTTGGTGGTCAAAAGCCAAAAGTCACTGTGACCTTGTGTTTGGCCCATTCTTGTGAACACCATATCTCAGGAATGCTTGGACGAAATTTTTCAAATTTAGCACCACAAATGAAATGATTAGATTTTGCTTGTCAAAGGTCTTTGACCTCACTTCTGTCCCACATCCAAGAATTTGACTGGTTGGTGGAGGCCTACAACTGAGAAGTGATAATTCTAGTTTGTTACCTCCTCAGGCTGTCAGGCAACCCTCCTTTCTATGATGAAAGTGAAGACGATGATTATGAAAACCATGACAAGAACCTTTTCCGAAAGATCCTGGCAGGCGATTATGAGTTTGACTCTCCATACTGGGATGACATTTCTGATTCAGGTACGTTCAGGTAAAAGTAAACACTGTGAAAGAACATGGTGACAGCTTGCTGGGTAAACATTTCAGATTTGAGGGAGGATTCCCCTCTTCTTACTTCAGGAGTGTGCAAACACATGTCATACTGAATTTATGTTTGCATCAATCAGGAGGATGCACCCTTTTTTGGCTGAATTCCTTTGAGTGATTTTTCTTTGACAGCTAAGAGTCTTGTTGCTCGTCTGATGGAGGTGGATCAAGACCAGAGACTGACAGCTCAGGAGGCTATAAATCATGAGTGGTAAGTGTTCCAGCTTTTATATATAGACCATTTAAATTAAAGCAGCGCAAATGTGATACAAATAGCTGCATGAGATGTGTAAGATATGTACTGTACGTTAAAATTGTATTGGAATCCTCCATATTCATTTTGACAGGCAAATCATTGTTCTTAATGAGTCTTTAGCAATTGTTAGACTGCAAGTCACCATACCATATCTGAAAGAATATAGGATGGACTGGCACAAAATGTGGTGCACAGATTTCTGGTTCCCTGATGGTGTATTCTAAGCCCTTTAGTGATCCATCAAGTTGACATTCTCTGATTCTTACTGAAATATCTTGTCATTTTGAAAAAACTGCTATTAAATTTGAGACAGACATTCATGTTCCCCACAGAGTAGTATTTTAATAATGTAACTGATCTTGTGGCTTTGATCTAGAGCCATCATTAGGTCAAAAAATGGTTCTGAAAAACATTCCCATGACATTCAGTTGTACTTGGTGTTTAGTGACAATGAGCAAATGTTAGCATGCTAACTGTGTATTATTATGTTACAAAAAAGTACAAATCATTTTTTTCAGTTTTACTATTTACCCTGCTTAGTTATATTTTACAAAAGTACTTCCAGAGAACAATACATTTTGAACATGAATTGACTGTCACAGTGGCAAAAATTAGAAGAAAAGGCCCAAGTTAAAAAAAAAACAAAAACAAAAAACAGCTGAATAATCCTTAAAGGTTCCAATGTCCTTGAAAAAGTTTGGCACTCAGTAAACAAACACACAACAACCTGAGCAGTAATTGTGTGCAGCAACCCATGGCATCCGAAGATGGGGAAAGCATAAAGCTCTGTTGTGAAGTTATATTTTTCCCATTTTTTACAACAGGATCTCTGGCGGTGCAGCTTCAGATAAGAACATCAAGGAAAATGTGTGTGCACAAATAGAGAAGAACTTTGCCAGAGCTAAATGGAAGGTACAGTACACACTTTTGTTTTCTCTTCCAGGAAGCTCTTCTTCAGTGGCAGTTGTATGGTGCTTGAACAAAGAGATATACTGTAGCAGTGGAGTATTGTGTAACTGTGAGCTGAGGCAGTCCGATGATAGTTGATATACACTTAACAAGTTTTCAGGTTATAGCACCTATCTTGAGTTTAGGTTGTTCGTCCTCCCACAGAAAGCTGTGCGGGTCACCACCATCATGAAGAGACTGAGAGCACCTGAACAGAGTGACTCAAAGGCAACCAACCCTGCAGCTGGCACCCCAGCAGACGCTGCAGCTCCCCAGACTGCTGCTGCCCCCTCAGAACCTTCTACCGCAGCCCCCGAGGGAACCCCCGCTACAGTCCCTGCCGGAGCAGAGACGAGTCAGCTGGCACCAGAGGCCGGGGCTACAGCAACCGAGCCTGGCGCAGAGGGAGGCAAAGTCCACATCACGTTGTAATGGAGAAACTTTTACTGCAGTCACCCAGGCCAAGAGTGAGCAGGGTTAAACCCCCAACCCCACCCCTCCCTCCTTGTGTAACCTCCAAAGTACCCTCCAACTCCTGCACACTGTACATTAGCTGCTAGAATGGTGACACTGACTCTGCTTCTCTCTCACTTGCAGCATTAGTATCATCTCATGGAGGCTGTGTGCTACCTATCCTGAGTGCCGTCTTGCATTGGCTTTCTTTTTACTGTGAGTGTACTGTGTCTTCTTTCACTGATTGTGTTATATGTCAGATTATACAAACCACACCTATCTCACACTTTAGTTTTAGGGGCAAAGACAGATGTCAAGCTGTGGCTTACAGCTGAAGTCTTTGTTTTGATTCTTCTTTTAGTGATAAGAGAATATAGGAAGACCTGTTTGTGCTGAAAATGACTTTGATTTACTTTTAATGAGCCAAATTGGGAAACTTCTCTGTGCCAGTTTTACAATTACAGTATTTGTTGTTATAGTCAGTGAAAAAGTTTAGCTTTTCCCTAAATTTGCACTGTGATACTCAGAAAAAGCTAGCACTCACACAGAGAAGCTCATATATAGTATATTCCCTCCATATGGGAAATATGGTTATTTGAACTATCTGTTATTGTCTACGCAAACCAGTTATTGTGAATTAAATGATGCTGAGATTTGTGCCTGGGAATTTTAATGCCCAGTACTATAGTTTGAACTAGGCAGCTTCACACATAAGCACACACACAAACACTATTCTCCCTTGCTAACTTCCTGCTCAGGACAGAACCTCACAGCTGTAAGTGTAAAGATTGTGTTTAAAGAACTGTGTAGAAGTAGTCAAAAACAGCATGCATTCTCACTGTTTGATGTTCACTTTACATCTGTAGCCACTTGGTTGATAAAAATGCGTCTTATCGTAGGCAACAGCTCTAGCCACAAGCCATGTGGACGCTAATGTTCTCACTGTCTGTTACAACTGCTCATTGGCACTCGTCCTTTTAATGTATGTTAGGGTTGCAGGGTTTTGGGGGAAAACAGTTTTCATCACATAGCAGTTCAGTTCTATGCATTAAAATTAATTTGTAGCTTTTCTTTTGTAGAAACGTCACAGCATACTTCATTTTTTTTGTATTTAATTTAAACATGTCTTCATGTCTTCTGTCTTACTATGTTCACTCAAATGCCATACATGTCTTAAAAGAATAGTTCAGGGGTTTTCAATATTGGTAAATCAATATTGCTTGGTCTGAGGTGAGGTGGGTGAGGCATGTGGACTTCTGCTTCTCAAACCTACAGTAAAACACATTCAGGTCATCTGGCAGTTGATTGTCTTCCACAGCAGGGGGTTGGTTTCTGTTGCCAGTTATGTTTTTCAGGCACCTCCACACAGACCAGGGGCTGTTGGCTGAAAACTGGTTTTTCAGTTTTCGGAGTAGCTCCTCTCAGCTACTCTGATCTCCCTTGTCAGTGTGTTCTTGGTTTGCCTGTAGAGGATCCTGTCTCCACTTCTGTAGATCTCCTCTTTAACATGGAAAGGAGTATGTACCTTGCAGATTTGACAGTTGGAGTATTTTGGCGGTTTGTGATTTTGGGATGCCAGTAAAACCTGCTCCTCTGTTTGGATTATATTTGTGCATGTGTGACATTTAAGAGTTGCTCTTTATTCCTGACTCATCTGTGATTCACATGAAGGAGTACATGGTTTGTGTCTCCATTCATCTGGTGTGTTTTGAAAGGAACAAGCAATGGACCAAAGCATCCCACAGATTTTCACCTGAGAGAACCTGAAACTGTCAAAATGGACCTAACTACGCTGTTTGCAAAGCTCAAAGAGTTACATGTATGTAGAGCCCATGTCCACAGTAGGAGAAACCGAGGAGCATGGCTGTGCCATCACCAGTTGAGCTAATATTTGGTTATAAATGCCAAAAGATTGTGCATTAACTCACCATATGCAGCTTTCAAGGGAAAAATACATTATTTTGACTTTGTGGTAACTAGGATCATCTTCACCACCAACTCAGCAACCTGCATTTTACTGAACAATGTATGAGAAACATGTCTGGCATTTTGGAACCTATTTATCTTTATTTATCTATGTGTATTTTTTTTATTTTCATATATTTAGCTTCTTTTGTTTTCCCATTCATTCAGTCATTTTTTCTATTCCATACACATTTACTCTTGCTTATACTTCATACAGAGTAATAACAAACAGTCCCTTCTTGTCACTGGTCCCCTCGAGCATTAATAATGAGCTACAGAATGAGTTCTGTGTAATCACTCAAGATAAAATTGAGCAATATTTGACTGGCTGCAGAAACTGTGATTCCTGATGTCCTTTTGATACAGTCCCTGTACCTGTAAGTAAACGTTTGTAGTTCATGCCAGCTGTCAGTCTTATCACGGCCACTTAAACACATGGCTGCTATCAGATAAGAGTGTGTGTGTGTGTGCGTGTGTGTGACAAACTAAGGCCATATTTGTTCTTCTGGCGTGTGACTCCCCGCATGATTTCCTGACCTAACACACACACTTTACCTTAGATTTTTGTTCTCCGTTCACATAAAGACAGCAGCCACATTGTCAGTATGAATAGCTGATTAGTGTAATAATTAAAGTTTAATATGTCCTGGCTCTTTCACAGCCGCTTTGTCTGATTTAACCCACTCTGTTGTCGAGAGTATTTACTGTGCACACCTGTAAATTTCTCTGATAAAACGGGGAGAAAACTGATCACATTTATTATTTATTGAATCTTAAGTTTGACTTTGTTGTCACATTCTTTTATTTATAAATGCATCTCCTTTTAATTTGTGCTGAGGTAGACTGGTAGAAATGCCAACAACGTTCTTACATTCTTTAAGATAAATGCTTAGATTTTATTAAGAGGCCTAATCCGAAAAGATTTTTAATGTGAAAAGATTATTTTATGTAATTCATTCTCTTTGTTTTGATGACAAATTAAACATGTATAAATGATGCTACACAATTTAAAGCAGTGCTTTCCCCCCCAATACATTTCTCATTGTTAGTTGTAGTCCATGTCTGCTCATTTTGCCATGCACTTCCAGGTGTATCTGTAAATGTGATGTTTGCCAGGACCGGTGGTCACCTGTAGGTCCTGACTTGCATTCGTGACCTCTATACCATACTCTTTGACTGAAATGATGACTTTGATGGTAATAAAATTTAATTGATCTGTTTATATGTGTGTGACTGCCTCTCATTTCTCTTCCAAGCAGACAGTCAATGCACAAAGGGTGCTTAGCGTCTTTCAGAGCATAGATGGCTCTATCAGAGATTATTTTGAGAAAATGTGGGAAACAGCCTGCGTCATCGCACTCTGCTTTCCCCCTAACCCGGAGGAGAGCATCTGTGTTACACGCTCTCAATTAGCACAATCTTAGCACCCATCCTGGTGGGGTGTGAACTCATGTTCAAAAAATCCCATCAGTGCCATTTGGTGACACTTTCAAGGGTACTTGAATTGCATCATGTCGTAATGCAGAGAGCACGCTTTCTAGGCACTCTGGGTTTAAATAGACTTTCTCCTGGGAGCCTTACTCTTTTTCATGCACATTGTACAATCGTATCCAGCCATCCATACTGTCATTGGGGCTCAGGGGGATCCTAACGTTTCTGTGTCATTGGATGACTTCATAAAGAGTGGTGGGGTGAGAGAAGTGTCAGTTTCTCTCCACCACTAGTGTAAAGGTAAAAGAACACTGCTCAGTCTGTCCTTGTCGAGAGGAAAGGAGAATTTTACAAGGAATAATAAAATAGTACATCCTGTGGGCAGAACCACACTTGCATACTAAATCATATAAAGTAGCCAAAATAGTTGCTGCACAAGTTAGGCAGTCAATACACAAATACTAAAGTAGCCACAAGCAAGAATCAATCTGCTTACACAATAAGCGTAGCTTTCTACAGCTCTACTTATAATAAGCATTTTCATTATCAGGCCTTTTATCCAAATGCTGACAATAATCCAAGCGAAGATTTATGGTCAGGATGAATGGATGTGGTGCGTAGCATTGATTTATTGGCATGCTGAGGTCAAAAACAATCAGTCACAATAACCGCTTCTGACTTTACTGCCTCATCTTACTGCGTACCTCTGAGGTCGCGTAGAAAACACACATCTGCAGTGTTGCACATTCTTCAGTAATTAACTGTAATCACTGCCTTCGGCTGTGTAAAACAGAGTTTCACTCATATTGAAAGGTGTTAATGTATCAATGGCAAAATCAGCTGAAAGTAATACATTTTTGTGTTATGAAAGGTTAATTAAATGAGGCCAGGACTAATATTTTTAGACAGTCTAAAGTACCCAATAAACATTAGGATGCTGATGAAGGAAATTCAAAACACCCTAGAACAATGGTCGACTCATCAGAATCTGTTTGGACATTTCTGTGTGATGTTCCAGATGTGCAGATGTTACATACAGTATAGTATAGTATAATTGCAGTGATTTAAAAAACCTGCTCTTAAATTAGTAATCTGGACAGTATAAAAGCGTGAAACACTTTTTAGTATTTTACAGCTTTTTGAAACAATATATGAATTTTTGTTCTAGTTTATAACAACTGTTTTCAGTGATGGGAAGTAACAAAGTATATTTACTCAAATAAGTGCAGTTTTTGATGTACTTTGTGACCCTTTGGAGGGTTTTCAATATCCAATTTGTTGAACTAACCTACCTACAGTAACTGTAAATAAAATAGTTAAACTTCACCTGACCAGTTACAACTAACTACTAACATATATAGTAGATACATATTAACAATCTAATAATGTTTACAGTATTACATACATTTAAATACAATGTTGAATTTGTAACTTTATTTAAGGAAAAGAATCAGAATACTCCCTCCACCACTAAATAACTGCAGTGTTTCATTCAGCAGCAGAACAATGTTGTCACAGTTTTACATTTTTGATACAAATGTTTGTATGCTTTGTAGGTTTACTCTCAGTAGACAACAGTACAGTGAACAGTGCAGTAGATACTGTTGCATCATGCCATCTACTGGCTGGCTATAGCTAATACAGCTGTAAGCAGGGGTCTTGCTGTGATTGCACAGAAGCAGCAGAGAGCAGTGTTTCTCCCACTTTTCTCCACTCAGTAGTCATCAATGGTAATTCCACACTAGTTGCAGAGTATCATCTGTGTATGGTTAGTGCATGAGAAAGCCTGACAATATGAGAAGTGATTGTTCATCAAGGGCATAATAGGGTGTGGTCCCTGTAGGAGCTGAGACGTTTAACCCAGTCGCATGTTGAGGTTTTAACTTAATTTTAGTTCATCTCTCCAGTGTGATGGGTTTGTTTTTACCAGTGTCTTTGTTTTCAGAATGATGTCTGTGAACAAAGAATCAGTCTGATGGCATGCAAAACATCTGCCTCTCACTGTTTCTGTATCTGTGTGTCTCTCCTCCAACAATGCAGTAAGTGTGCGACAGCTCTGACTGTGAGAGAGATGGAGCAGATACCGTCAGAATGCCACCGAGATCAGACCCAGTGATACAGTAGAGCTGGATACTGCATCTGAGAGCTGAATGATGTTAGCGATGCCACTGGGGTTGGCATTATGTCATGTGATATGCCACTGTGGAGATAACTCCCCACAATTAATGTGCTGTGAAGAGTGGCACACAGAAATGTCTGAACAGATTCTGATGACTCAACCATTGTTGTGGGGTGTTTTGAATTTTCATAATGTGGATCAGCTTCTTGATGTTAAGCCAGTTTCTGATTCAGAGCCAGAGATAGCTGGATTTTAAGTGAAGTGGTGATGATGCAGATGTAATTTATCAGCCACAGTTGGGGGAGACTGACCCTGAATATTGACCTTCTTTATTCAGGACTGTCAAACTCCCACCCTAGCTCCCTTTGGCTGCTCAGCTGCTCACTGACAGAGATCAGATAACAGAGGGAACAGAGCTCTGTCTATGAAGAGGAATGACGAAAGGGACAACAGAGCTCTTTAAAGCCCAGATGTCATCTCACGCCTGGAATGCCCTCTGATAGTTTTCTAATTCATACATACAGTAATGTTTCTCGTTTCCAGCAACAAACCAAGGATTCTAGATGGTCTTTGTGACCTGCATATACTGTATGTTCACATCAAACAAGGGTATGTTGTGCACTTATTTTGAAGTCGCAGTCAAATACAAGATTTGGTTTTATTTATGATTCATGCCAATAAAAACAAAAGTGCAACATTTTACATCACTGCTTCTTAATTTTCTCAATAAGTTTTGAATTTACAGTTTTGAATGTTTTTATTCACATCCCTGTTTGTTGTGACATTCTGTACTAAAATATACAGCATTTATATAGAAAAGTACCAGTTGTGGTACTTCGGCATTAATGAATCAATTGCCATGACCTGTAACCATCATAAGAATGGTTGCTTTTATCAGCCAGTCCACTCACTTTGAGTTCATTGCAATAATTTTATTAAAATATATACAACATTTTGTGTGTAGCCACTGAGTCACATGGTTGTCATGGGTGATGTCAACACCCATTAGTGTAGATTTCTTTAATGCACTGTATAAATACACAACTATATAGCTATCAGATATAGCCTGTTCATTGTAACAATATGAGGATGTTTTGTGTCTTAAACCCTTTGATGCTGGATACAGTGCTGTCATATTTTCTTAGATTCCTGCAGTCCTTGTGCTCCTCTCCTCTTCTCAGTTTCTCCTTCTTTTTTCAATCTTCTTTTCTGCCACTTTGCTCCTGACCTAGATTGTTGTGAAAGAATGTTAGTCGCTCCTGGACTGATCAGAGGTCAGCTCTGCTTTCAAAGCTTTTATGAGGTGTAAACACTCTGCTGGACTTGACTGACATTATTCAGACCCACTATAAATATGGACGACGTGTCACCACCTGCAAAAAGTGAAGCCAAAATATTGCGGCTGCCATCAGATTTTGTGCAGTAGTGACCCAGTAGTTGAGTGACGTATGGAACCACCAATCAAAGCTGTCAAATCATCCAAAATACATTCCTTTTTTATATCATCAAATTACTTATTAAAACATACATACCAGGAAAATGACCACTTGTACACACAGCAGTGTGATAATATCTTAAAAAACCTCAGAAATCACCACTGGGAAAAATGTATTTGATGTGTCTAGCTCAGCTCATGCCCCATCCACTAACATTGAGGAGGAGGGATTTATGACTTATAGTGCTACCAGCCATCAGGGGTCAACAGCCTATTCCCCTAGTATGCTGTAAGCCACAGTTGCCTTCATCAATTCCCATTACCCATTACAGTAATTAGGATGGAAACTAATATTGCTGACTAACGGATGTTGAGAGTATCAAAGTCAATAAAATTTGTACAACAGAGGAAGAATGATAGCCCAACAAGTAAAAGGCCCTTTTCTCCATGACATCAGCTAACATGGCATTTCTGTGGTTAGGGGGTAACATGTTTGCTGGCAGATTTAAAAGCAATGCTGCAGTCCAACATTTCTCTGTGATTGTAAAAAAAAATCCACGCCAACACCCATTAGAATAACATTTATGATATTGTTAATCACTTTGTTCACCATAAGGTTAGTTTATTTCTTGTTTGTGCTACAGATCACTGGTGAATGATAATGTTAGCTAGCAAGTGACATTAACAGTTACGATGTGCAGAAGCCACAGAGAAGTAATGTCTATTTAAAATATTAGCCTGTAAATTATACCATTATGTTAAAAATCCAAATGACCTTCTTAAATACATAACTATGGCGTAGCTTGGTGAAGGGACGGGGGAGCTGTATGATGTATTTTCATAGCTAAAATCACATCCTCTCCAGAAATAACTAAGCAAGCTAGGTCCATGGGCAGAACAACACAGATGTTATCACTTTACTGACTGCAGTCGTTAAAACATCTTTAACTGGTACATTATTCACAGCGGACATAACATTCATTCTATTATGCTTTGTATACTGCACTGCAAGCTTATCTAGACACTTCTTTAGCTAACTACTGTAACTTTTTTCTACCCTTAGTAGCATGTACATTACTGCACTGACCGCTTCCCCAAAATAGATAACACTGTTTCCCATGTCACAATCACATTGACCATAAACTCTTATAGGGGAGGCCTGACTGGTAGCACAATGAAAGAATATCTGCAATCCATTAAACATCATCCATTAATGTTTGTGATTGTATGAACTCAATGATTATGCTGACCAGTGGAAGTGAGGATGTGCTCATCGGTGGAACAATGGCCATTCTGTGACGTCAGGTGATAAGGGCCCATTTCAGACTACTACTGAACCCCATTTTTAACAAAGGAACAGAGAAAAAAAGCAAAAAAGCTTGTTCGGATGCTAACATTAAACGTTAGTCAGACAATGTGCAGAGATAAACAGATGAACAATTGGATATTTGATTGTCAGTGCAATTACATTAGTTTTTATTATTATTTGCTGAGTGAAAATAAGTTATAAAACAGGAAAATATGATAGATGTTATCTTCTCCATAAGGCAAACATCACCCTTACTTGTCAACCTGTTTTTTAAGCTAATTTAGCTTCTTTCTTATTTAACTAAGGGGCTGACACATAGAGTCAGACAATCATTCACACAATTCACCCACAGGCAATTCAGAGTTGCCAGTCAACCTGACCTACATGTCTCTGGACTGTGGGAGGAAGCCAAGTACCCAGAGAAAACCCACGCAAGCACTGAGAGAACATGCAGACTCCACAACAGAAAGGCTCTGTTTGGCCGTGAGGTTTGAACCCAAAACCTTTGTGAGGCAGTGGTGCTACCCACTGCACCACTATGCCAACACCCCAACAGTTTCATTAGAAACACAAATGCAATGTGTATATTTTATATAAATGTCATACATATCTCTTTAACAGGTACAACTTTATTCCAAGGATCCAGAAGGTTCTGGGTGTAACATGAAAACATCCAGTATCAAGCCAATCACAATGAAAGGGGGCATTCCATTCTTATAAAATATAGAGCTTTAATTTATTAGTCAGCAACAACAATGGAAAGGGAAGGTAGAGTAATTTACACAAGTCATTACAATAACATCACCTCTGTGCATTTAGAGTTTTTTTCATAAATTCTGATGCAAAAAAAAAACAAAACAAAAATGCAAAAAAATACAACATGAACAAAAACATTCAAAAACTAAAGACACATTTAAAAAATACCAACAAATTTTACAACTGTTACTACATTTTTTTTTCTTTTTGCTGTAGATCCCTTGGTCTCATTTGGAGGGGAAGATCAGGACCTGTAGTGGATTCTGGGAATGTAGACCAATGCCACATTGAGGATCAGATACAGATACCCCTGTATAAATTATGGTTGCGTCTTCCCAGAGGTGTTCATGCAGACTTTCATTAAAAGTCTATAAATTTCACAATGATATGAAAGCATAATACATTGTTTTACAGGAAAACTCCATTAATTTGTCTTATATAACAGTAATATTAATGTCTTTACTAGAAAAGTGTACGAGAGGGTGAGCATAAAAATTCTAATCAGTCACTTTGCACAGTATTTATTAACACCCTGTTATTAAACTCAAAATGCTTTTCTCTATGTAATTAATGTGCCAGCTGTTATTTATTAAATTATACTTTACTTAAATGATTCCAAACACATAAGCAAAATGATTTCAATTTATAATTTGACAAAATCTAAATTTATGTCAGTGCACCACACTTTATAGAGGGGTATATTTGAAATGAAGGCATGTTTAAAGCATTTGTTTTCCCCATTTTGCTGTACTGAGAACATCTCATACTGTACCATACTGTACATCCCTAGAGATAAAAAGTAAATAAAATAAAATAAAATAAAAAATGAACGTAAAAGAAAGAAAAGAAAAATGACCACACAGTATCTTATCAGAATTACAGTACAAATACAGGTTCATGCACACAATGAAAGCCAGCTTCCCAATATTTTAGTTAGGTTCACAATATTCTTACAGTGCTCTGTTGTGTATATGAGCAGCGTTTTTTCACAAGTTAATGTCAAAGGAAATAAAAAGATGTTTTGTGTGCTCAGAGCTAATAACTGCTGCCTGTTTTCTCTTAAATTGGATTTGTCAGCTACTGTATACCGTGCCTGAATGTGCTTGTTGCATTTGGCCTTAGCCACTGTCCCTTTTAAATAAAAGAATGATGCCCGTTGTGCAAAACCATGACCCTTTATTGCATATCACTCTCAGTTTTAAAGATGTTACCATTTGAATAGACACCAGCCGATATATTTCCTAATAGATTTCATTAAAAACTGATTTGATACTGGCTTATTACATTTATGTCTCATCTTTAAACTTGAGCTCATATCCAAAAGAAGCTGCAGGTTATGCAGACCAGAGAATTTTTCTCTTACTTTTGCCAAGGAAATGTAAATCTCACCAATCAAAATTAGAGAAAGGTAGTAAGGATGTTGCAACATTTTACAGACAATCCTATCAGGAAGAAAATAGAGGAAAACAACAAAGGGCAGGGACCTGTTTCCTGTGAAAAGATCAATTACAACAGTGAGAGTAACCGAGCAGTCATCTGTATGCCTGGGCTCTAATAGAGAAAGAACTGTTTTCCCGCAATAACTGGGCCCATATGTCGATGGTCCCCCCAGCAATAGAAAGTCTCTGTCTGCATGCAGCTGTGAGCAGGTTGCATCACCGGCAGAGTCCAGAAATAAACGAGTCCTGGCATTGAGTCAAAGCAAGCAACAAACAACAGAGATCCCATCACCCCTTATCAACAACTCACTTCCCTGTCAGAGAGCCTCCCGTAGCTCGCTCCTAACAGCTTACATGCCTGATAACACATTCCCAACACTCACCAAGGTCATTTGATGCTGACAAATGAGTTTTGTAATGACAGTAACAGTAACAATAAAATTAACATCTATAATAACAATAATATTTGCCCCAAAGGTACCTATACACAAAGAGCATGTTTTTTCTATAAGTACAAAGAAATCCACAGAATGATAATATATACAACCTACAATAAATACTGTGTATCATATATCTTACTGCTCGAGAAAATGTATGTGGGGTTTCCTTTGTAAGCCTCTTCTTTTCAGTTTGCTTTTTTTTTTCCCGGTTTGTGGATTTTTTCACATCGCTAATCTCAATGAGTTTCTCCCAGTTTTCACAGGGTGGGGGCATCGAGGGTGGTTGAGGGTGTTTCAGACACAAATATCAGCTCCTCATGTCTCTGCCTCCTCCTGCTCCTCTTTCTCCTCCCCCTCCCCATGATGTCGGCGGTTGCGGGGCTTCTTCTGCTCCTTGAGCTCCTTCAGGTCTTTGGCCTTGAGGGGGCCCAGCAGTGAGTCTCCAAACTGCCAGTAGTCTTGGCAGTACTGATTAATCAAGTTCATCTCTGGCTGGCTCAGGATGGTCAGCAGGTCCTTGTACTGGCCTGCACTAGGGGTCCACTGGGTGCTGCTGGAGTAGAGAGAAGAGGGCACGAGTCCTCCCCCGCCGTCTACCAGCAAGTTGTTGACAGCCCGGCTCGACAGCACTACCAACTGAAGCTTCACCAGCGTGTGTTTGAAGTTCTTTTCTGTGGCTGTGCACTGGTACATGCCAGAATCAGAGGGCTGCAGAGACCGCAGCAGTAGACCTTGGTCTGTCTTCAAAACCCGGCCATCAGAACGCATCTGTAGAGACAGAGAGCAGGACATGGCCATGAAACACCTGTGATGTGACGGCATAACTGCCTTCTTCATCTGTGTTTTCTGTCAGCCATGCCATCTTTTAAAAGCTAAAGATTAAAACTGAACATTGGCATCTTTCTGAGTGTAAAGGCCTTTTTTTGATTTTGTTAATTCACAAAATTACCTGAAATTGTATCTCTATGCAGACTTATATTGGAGGTGGGGGTGGTCTACAGTACACTAAAATCATCTGGATTATTTCACTGTCTGTGTTAAATTGTTTTCTGCTGCCATTTAAACTTCTCCTACTCTATGTATGTATATGTACACAGTGAGCTGCACACAAAATATTAAAACAAATGTAACATGATATTATATATATATATATAACAAAAAAGACTTGTATACCCACACACGTTTGTCTTTTCCCCATAGACCCCTTTTACTGGGGCATGTGCTGCTTCATCTGCTGTGCCCCAGTAAAATCAAACATTTTTAACAGGCTTCTATATTTGACAGTGGATTAATTGGTTTGTTGTTCTAATCCAGAATGTCAAAGCAAAATACAAGCTGAGGCACAGGGGTCAGGGTTTGTACACCACGGTGCACATATATAGGTTTTTCATACCTGGTGCACTGCAGCACACATGCAGCATTCCATGTACTGGCTCGTGAAACAAAATAAAGGAGTGGACTGAGGTATGTGAGAGGGACTAAATTAAGTTTTTGAATAATACTGATGATATTAGTTTTACTCAAACATTGACTCTTGCAGATTGAACATTCCCCCGCCCTTATGAAAGGATGAATGTTGAATGAATGTTTGAATATGGTTGTGGACTGTGTGGTTTGGGGAAAAAAGCTTCAGAGGTCTGTGCCGCTACCAGGCACCAGTGAATCCCAAAAACCTTCTATGAGATGGAGCTGACTCAGTGAAATGATTAAGTGGCAGTGAGGAAGACTGTTGTGCAGTGGAAACAGCTGGAAGGACAAAGGAGGAAGTAGCCGGAGCCGAAGTTGAGCATCTCTCTGTGTCATCTGCTGATGCGGTGCTAGGAAAGCCAATGGAACTGCATGGTGGGCCCAGAGGGGCCATCAAACTAGAAGGTGGCCACTCGGAGAAGGAAAGCGAGAGGACAGATGGTATCTCTCCAGGAAAGGAGGAAAAGTTAGCAGGCAGCCTGATGCCCGATGAAAACAAGAAGGAGGAAGAGAACATGGAACAGAAGGAGGCAGGAGAGTTGCAGGAAAGAGGCTAGAGGAGTCTTCATGGAACCAGAGAATAGGGGAAGCTGACAAGGCAGCCGCAGCCTGCTGAGGAGGGCATGGCAGCATGTGGCATGGAGAACATGGAAGGCCCTGCAGGTGGTGGAGCAGAACCGGCAGTATAATCCCACAAAAATGTTGGAGAGGATGATCCAGCAATGGAGCAGAAAACAAGCAGTGAGAAGAATAGTTTGATCAGGTGGTTTTAAAGGGCCCATAGCATGCATTTCCTTGTTTTTTGACTTATCTAGAATTTTACAATGAACCTACAATGTTAAAGCTCAAAAAAATAAGGTGTACATATGTTTTTGTATTTCTATGCAGAAGCAATTCAGTTTAAACAGATCTCGCAAACTCTCACTCATGAAACTTTTTTCTAACAAAATAAAGTATTATTATCATTCAAGTTCATTGAATGGTCATAATCTCCAGGCAGTCGCAGGTTCATGTGAGCTTGCCTGATATCCACCTGTGCCATTGTAAAAGCAGAATTTTTAGATTGCGCCCTGTTTCGTGGATCTATTTTACCTCCTGCTGCTGCACTGTGACCAGAGGATGTGGAGAAAAATACAAGGCCTGAGGTTACTGCATGTCCAGGAATGTTCCTGTAAAGGGACTTGCTGTTTTACCTAACCGGGTCTAAGCTACAAGCAGCCGGCCAGTGGAGCCCCCTGCGATCAGTTCATTAACACTGGATTCCCCTGGAGCACAGTACCCATTTGTTTTGACTGCTTGAGGCCAGTGTTTCTGCCACATGTGATGTGTTGCTGGTTAACAAGCGGATTAAGGGCCCATGATGTTATTGTCGGTGCTTTGCTACCTGCTAGAATTAATTTCACTACTTTGGGACTATATGTGGTCGTATGGAGGAAGACACAGCGACCACTGGTTGGATTTACCGACCTTGGAGCTACTTGAAAGGGAGTGATGTTTCCACTACTTGGTGGGACTTAATGATAAGTTTAACAAAAAACACATTGTATGTCTGTTGATGCCTTGTTTCTATAATGTTAGAGAGAATTGTTGTAAAGCTGGAGAAGTTGCTATGTCTGCATTATGCCAGTTAAAATATGGGGTTTCTCAACAACCTCCTTTGTTTAGAGTGTTACACATCTCTTTTCATCGGTACATATACCGTTGTGTACATATCTATGGAGGAAAAATTCAAATTAATTAATACCGTTGTGGTTTGTTGTGCTGTCCACTTCCGACACAACACCGGCAACAGTGTGTGCCTTCTTGAACTATCCTGTTGTTTTTAGGAAGAGGCTCTCTGCTTTTATCATTCTGAAATAATTACAGACTATTTGGAGTTATGAGGGGTGCCAAGCTAATCTAGAGGTACCCAAGATTAAACATTAAATGGCTGGAAATGGGGTAGCACGGTGGCACGGTAGTTAGCATTGTTGCCTCACAGCGAGAAGGTTGTGGGTTCGTGACCTTTCTGTGTGGAGTTTGCATGTTCTCCCCGTGCTTGTGTGGGTTCTCTCCGGTTACTCCGGCTTCCTCCCACAGTCCAAAGACATGCGGCTTAGGTTGATTGGTGTCTCTAAATTGCCCGTAGGAATGACTGTGTGTGTGTGAGTGGTTGTTTGTCTGCGTGTTGGCCCTGCGATGGACTGTCAACCTGTCCAAGGTGTACCCCACCTTCACTCGATTGCTGGCTGGGATTGGCTCCAGTACCCCCCCGCGACCCCGTTTGGGTTTAAGCGGTATAGAAGATGAATGGCTGGAAATGAGAAAACTGAGCATGCTATGTAATGAGGAAAGGAAGAGGTGTGTGTTTAGATGTGATCCTGCTCTTGAATTTCAGATTAAAATCTCTAATTAGAGGAGGTCGAGACAGGGAAGAAGTTCAGATAGGTGAAGGTGAGAGAGGTAAAACCTGGCTGTAGTTGATAACAAGCTAATGTTTAATTAGCTACTATGTAACCAAGTGCAGATGTTGAATGTCAAGTAAAATAGAGCTCTGTACATCAATGCACATGATCAGTTGGACTACTCTTAAAATACCATTTATCAGTTTACTACATGAAATAAAATGAATGCCAGTTATAATACATCACACATAGTTATGTTAACTTTGGACTATTCATTCTGCATTTAATGAATAGCCTATAACAATATACGGTATGATGCTCTTGTCACACGGCCCAAATGATGTTTGTTTTGTGCATTTTTAACAAATAGGTGAACCAGGAAGGCAGGAAGGGAAAGTGCGGAGAAAGCTCAATGTGTCTATGGAGACAGGTGTGTGACCACCAGCCATCCACTGCACACTAGAATTTCAAATTGTGGCCTTATGAGTTACAAAAAAATTATTAGATTTTGCTTTTTTAGATTAATGATTTGATAGAGTAACTTGTTGTGAAAGTTTAAATCTTAGAAATCAAACTGGGGCTGCTTGACAATCAAATTAGTTATTTTTGTGAAATGCAGAAAAGTGCAAAGAAATGTAGGGCACATGGCCAGACTTCTACACCATAAAATACATTGAGAATGTTCTTAATGAATGTTGAAATAAAAAACATATTCATAAAGATTAATATCTCTACATTTTTACCTTTACCTGTAGTTGTTTCAGTTTCAGTAGCAGCAGTATGGCAGTGGTATAGTGGGCAAAGCAAGGGAAGTTCATATCGCACAGTGGGGCTTCTTATTCAGATTTATTACCACATCAGAGCAAGAGCCTTCTGTTCTTTTGTGCAAAATCTCCTCCATGTCTGTTATTGACTACTGCTTACACAAGATCATTTTTTCTGTCATGCATCACTCTGAAGTGGAATGGTGTTAGAATATGGGACAGCATGGAGAATGACCTTGTACGTGACCCTGAGAACCAGCGGGGTGGGAGCTCTGCTCTTAACTAAATTAGTAACATTAGTCAAACAAAGCATGCTATTATGCGTGCACACACAAACAAACAATAAAGCTGCGCTGCACAGACGTTGTTACACAGATCAAGCAGATAAACCTGTGGGGTAACAAGAACAAAAAAAACTGAAGTGACGAGAATACAAAAGATATCTGAGGAGTGCGTTCAGAGCTAATGTCTAAACTAGCCTACTCGATATTTGCCTTGAACACAATACCACAACCACTGCTGCTGCAAATGACAAAAAATAGTTGACTGCTGCCTGACTTTTTTTCCACCTGACCAGCCAATCAGGTTGCAGAAGAAAGATTGGAAGAGGAGTGTATTTATTTTCTGTTCTCTGATTAGCTCAGTCACATGTTTCTGTATCTTTCCTGTCTGAAGTGCAGTTGTGTCTTTGTGTGTGTGTACCCTGGGGCAGAGCTCTGGTCTGTGGCACAATGTAGAACACATTTCATTCATGTGGCAGAGAGTCAAGAAATTGTGTGACTTAAATAATGGGGGCCTGTACCCTAGTAGAGCTTTATGTCTAGGAAGGGCCGCCCTGCTTTGCATACTACATATAGTACAGCTACAGTATTCTGGAGTTTAGGAGACCAAATAATATTTATCTTACTTATAATTTGAGTGATATAATGAAGCACGGGCTTTGAACAATAGGAAAATACAAGTCAGTATACAAAGTACAGTAGATGTTGTGAACATAAAGGAGGTCTTTTTCTCTGACTTCTAAACAGATCTATGTGTGTGTGTGTGTGTGTGTGTGTGTGTGTGTGTGTGTGTGATGTCTCTGGGTTTAGAATTGAATGAGTTATGAAGAAGCACTGTGATGTTTTGCTGGCAATCATTTGGATGATTGGTCAGGAAAGGTACAGTAGAAAGAAAACCAATATCCCTGCTGAAAATCTGGATGCTGTTTGTATCTGTTCATATCCAAATAATGTTTTTGTATTGATTTACTTCCCTTCTGTCCTGACCTGTATTGTTAATATCCTTTATTTAAAAAAATTGAATTAATCAATTGTTACGTCCACGGATCAGGCCGTCCCTGGCACCTCGGCAGCTGATACCGGGGCTATCAGCGACTCCACCCCTACTCACGTAGGAGCACGCTCCCGGCGACAAGGCACACCTGTGCTCAATTAGCTGAACCATACTTAAACACAGCGCTGGTGTGTCCTCCTCACCAGATGATCTCTCAGTGTTCTGCCGGCGACTTTGCGTGTTTCACATCCTGGATCCTGATGTCTACTAAGATCGTCCTACTCTGGCATATTGATGTTATCCACTGTGTTGACTTGAGTGAGTTTCTCTGTCTTGTTTATGTTTTTTTTTTCTTGAACTCATTACTGAGGAGTATCTTCTGTTATTTTTGGAACTGACTACTGGGGAGATCTTATGTTTATTTTGAACTAATTACCGAGGAGTATCTTCTGTTATTTTTGGAACTGACTATTGGGGAGATCTTATGTTTATTCTGAACACATTACCAAGGAGTATCTTCTGTTATTTTGAACTGATGACGGAGGAGTGTTTTGTTTTTTGAACTGTCGCCTGGTGCCACCTATATCTCTGTGAGCCTTGCTGCTGATCGACGATCGTTGGTTGGGGTCCATATCAAGTGCCTGGGTCAGTGAAGCGTGGGCGCTTGTTCCTGTCTGCATACCTCGGCGCTGGGTTCCAAGCACGCTCTCCAGCCCGGAGCCAGCATTCCCCTATACGCAAGTCACCTGTGTTGTGCTCTACTTCATCACACCCTCATCCGCCTGTTGTCCCCTCTCCTAATCTCCTTCTCTGCTCTATACACAGTGCCAAAACCTCTCCTCTGACCCCTGGGCGGCTCCTCCAGTGGTCCATTCATTTCAGCAGCCCCAAACACCCGAGACCCACGCTGGCAGCTCCGCGTCTGATCCTCGCCACCTCCTTTCCTTTCCATACTCTGTCAAATAAATATCTTTCTCTGACCTGAGTTTTGAGTCCCGCCTATTACTGAGTCCAGTCGCTCTTTTGGTGTGCGGCTTGCCGTAACATCAATTCAAATGTAATAAAACATCTTCCGGGAATGTGAATAGGTGATGACAGTGGTTTTTTTAAAACTCAGAATTAGATGTTCAAGAAAGCCGCAGAGTCAGCTCTGCCTATAGGATTAGAGAACATCCAACAGCATAGTCAATAAAAGAGAGGCAGCAACACTACATAGCTTCAAAATAAAACTTTAACTAGTGCCTCAGGGTTATATATCATAGCAGAAGGCTCTTTCACAGCTCCCCTTTAAGTGTCCTTCCCCTGGGCCTGAGGACAGTGGGAGGTCTGTGAGAGAAATCAGGCATCATTCAGTCAGAGCCTGAATCACTTAATGTTAATAGATAATCGGAATTACAGCAAGGTCATTTTTCAAATGTGTCAAATTGCATATAAATCGCCATTCTCTGACAAAGTAACAAAATGAAAGGAAATACTGTGGAAGATATGTTCAAAATAAATTCTTCTTTTTCATCTGTGTTCATTTGTCACTAACCCATGGGAGGAAAAAGGTCAAGCTAATTCAGTACTCCAGGAAGTTTATATCATGCTTTGTGTGCTACAACTATGCATTTGAGTAAACTGCTCCATAATACAACATGCTTATAGAACTAGAAGCAAGAAATACACTATGTGGCAGCTCACCTCTTTCCTGCGGTCGCTGTTATCTCTTTGCAGATGCCATTTGATCACAGCATGTGGAGAGCGGGCCTGACACTCCAGGAAGGTACTGCTCCCCTCCACCCCATACTGCACCATCTCAAGCGTGTTCTTATTGGCTGCAGGGCAGGGACAAAGTGGGATTTCCATGGCAACCAAAAGCATTCATTACCATGACCTCCTTGGGACCAAACCCAGTCCACCAGCCTTGGCACAAAGTCCATTTAGGTATATGGCTTTCACAAATTACTATGAAGCTGCCTGAAAACACTCATTCCAGCCCATAACAATGAAC